TTGCTCCAAGACAGAAGAAGGCAAGCAGCCATCATCCGGGGTTACGCTCTGACCATAGGCGGTGCGTATTGCATGTCTTAAATAAGCATGCATTTCTTGATACAATGGCATAATTTCCCAAACCACATCTTCCAACTCACGTTGAAAATTTTCTGTGTCGTAGTAGAGATACCATGTGCGGGATGGCGTCACATGACCTATTGACGAATGCGTATACAAAAGTACATACATGAACAAATATAGGTTAGTGTCAATCTTTCACAAGTACTGCTACGTTGGAAATTGTGATTAGTTTTATGGACTATTTACGTACGTGTCTTCATATGGATATACATTCGGTTGGATGCATTGTAGGGTTATCTACTACTCCTCGTAAGGTTTACGAATGAGTTTAAATTAGTTTATAATTTTGTAAATGCTAGGAACTAATTGCTAATAACAATCTACACTGCAGTCTGGTGGGTGATTGTGTAACTGTCTGTTTGAATACAATCTCTAATTGGTCAAATGAGTTGCGTTTAATGCATTTTGGAATGATGGACGTGTCAGTATACACATTAAGCTAAGTAACAGCGGAATGTTTTGTGTGTTAGTCCACGTAAGGATGCTTACTTGTATGTTCATCATAATGACAATTAAATAAAATGAGTTCAGATTTGCGTAACTTGGATTAGGTGTAAAGGATGTGTAAGTGGGATATTGGATACTGAATTCTGGGTATATGGTTATGTGATGGAATTACAAACATTTACATAAAATAATATATGGAGAAAGTACAAGATGCATTTGTGTGGATAATAAGAAAATTACGATTTTAATACCTAAATTATTTTAAGGATTAACTTTAATTAAAAAAATTATTTGAATTCTGTCCGAGGAGTTGTGGAAGATGAATAGAAATGGTTTTGTATAGAAATAAAGACATGAAGATGTTAGTGTGTTATATTTAACACAATGATTGTAGTGTAATAAAAAGATAAATAAATAAATTAAAATAAGTTCTGTGTTTTTATAAATTTCTGAAGCCATCGAACATAAATGCAATATTAAATTATAATTACTTCTATGAATTATATGTATAGGTATATAAATCAAATGTTGCATTATTTGAGAAGAGTATTCAATTTACCATTATAACTAGCCGCAATGCGAAATAGACGAACATAATTAATGAATGTAGATTTAGCCAAGTCTTGCTCATTGACCGCTTTTCGCCACATCCTCCAATAATAGTCCAATTCAACTAATCGTTTTGTGCGTGCGAGGTGGTGCAAAATTGTCGGCACCATAGCAACGGGCTTTGAGCAGTCTTTGACATGTTGTACATGGCATACCATATGCGCGGTTAGAAAACCATTCATAATGCGCAGCATGTCTTTAGCTTCTTCATAATCGGTCTTGCGCAAACCAAAGAGTTGCAGTTTTGATAAACGTTGCACTTGGCGTTGGAGGGTATGATTCTTGAGTTGGGTAACGGGAATAACACTTAGATTTGCTGCAAGTTCATATACTAAATTACGGTAAGCATTATCTATTTCATGTTTAATGGGCGCTTGATTGATCAGATTGTAACCACGCCCCTTTGCCAAGTTCACAAAGATATCGTGTCTTACAGTCCATATTTTCTGCATTCGTTTCGTCGCATCATCTAAAATATTTGTGGCATGATATTCATAATCTGTTGTTTTGCCAACTGTTGATGTTTTATTTTCTTTCAATCCTCTGACAGTGAGGAACACCGAAATCTATAGTTATTGAATCTTATGAAATGCATATGAATAATTTGATATAAAAAATTTTAAATAATTACCAGGAAATATAGTGCGAATAGATGTCGACATTTTAGTAACCACATTTCTATTGAGTTTAATCGAAGTAATTGAAATATTTCAGGGTACAATCCACTTTTACTAATTACACAAAGATTATCTTAGTTTTATTTATAAGTTACACAGAATTTTATATATTAAATTATTTAACTAAAATATGATTTTTGGCGCGTATACGTATATCTCTTTAGGAGTATAAAATCTGACTACTAATGATAAGTATAGTAGGCGAGGTGCATAGGAATTTTATAGTTTATTGTATTGTTCATTGAAAAAAATTTTACTTTAAAATAAATAAAAAAAATTCTTATCTCACTTCCTTGGGTTATATGTTTTTTTTTGTTTATATTTCAATGCAGAAGCTGAAATTTATAGTAGTAAATATATTTCTTTTGTTTACATGTGAATAAGTACATATTTTTATTTATTACTACATATGTTATATGTAAATATATTTGTGTGTATTGAATTGTTAGACGTTTAATCACAATTTGACATTGAACTCTTTTTTTCGCTATTATAGAGAATGAATATTTTATTAATATATATGTAACTATATGAGACCGGCAGTAAAAGTTTTATTCTCCGTCTAAATTAAGTAATTTCCAAGATTGCTTAGAAATTAAAATTTTGAAGCTTTTATATCACTTAAATAAACTTTTCGATTTAATTAAAAAGATTGCGACAATGTAAATGAGGTGGACTTCAATCTCTTATTAAAGGAAAGTGCGGAAAATATTTTTATTAAATTGATTTTTAACATTCGTTTTTATGAAAGAAACTAAATTCTTAATATGCACTGTTATTTTCAATACAAAGGCATTTCAAATATTAATTTAATTTTATTAACTGAATGGAATTAATAAATAATAAAACTTCAGTAACATAACACCAGAAAAATGTGCGAACATAAAAAGTTAAGTACGACTTTGAGTCAGTTGGTTAAGGTGCGCTGACTTTGAGCTTCAAATTTGGCAGCGCATGAGTTCGATTCCTGGCATTTGCAGTCTCATATTTACGAATATTTAAATTCAAGAATTATTTCCAAGTCCAGCGATGATGGGTATTTGGCAATACTCAAAACAGCTGTATGGTCAGCCAAAAATTCAATTAATTAAAATAATATAAAATGAATTTTTGTTATTATAGTTCACTAATGTTCGAAAAAATAATAAAACTTTATTGTTGTAATTTAATACTGTTCGATATACCTAAACATTTTTATTGAATATTGCCATAGGATCTTTACTCCAGTTGACTTTTTGTAATTTGAAATATATTTTCAGTATTCCAAAGGCTTTTTCATACTTTTTCCGTTAGTTTTAAGTTATAAATTTCACAATTGCTTTTATATTTGTTTAAAAATATATATAATAATGGAATAAATAGAAATAAAAAATGAGTAGAATTTAAGTTTAGACTTCCAAAAGGATTGTTCCACTGAAACACATATTTTTTTTTAGAGAGTATGTGGTGATGAAAAACAAGATATAAGGACTTTGGCTAGTCCTTCCACATTATTAAAATAATTTTTTTGATATATTTAAGAGATTATTATTATTTTACTTAAAGCGGCAAGTTTTCAAGTTCTTTGAAATGACACATTCACAACGGTAGGTAGATAAAGCTGGGTGGTCGGAACCACACAAAACAGCTTAGGAGGTTTATAACGATACGTATTACTTTAGATGCGTATGTTATTATTGAATTTTACGAGATTCTTCATTCTAGTCGAAGAAACAAAGGTTAGCTCGTGACTTAGAATGAGTTAAAATTTTTAAAGAATTTTAATCGAATTTTGGTGGAAACTCGGAAAAAATAAAGGTGATGTTCCGAAGTTTCTTCAATAGCTCATTGATTGCATTTCCTTAATTCGTCACTGCTGGTGAATTTTTAATTCATGGTAAATATAAAAAGTCTTTTTAAACACACATAAAATTAAATTTTTTTTATTTGTTGCCAAATTAGTGATTTAATTAAATATATCACACACAATTATATCACAAAATTTTCTAAAAAATTAATTATTTTATTTTTAAATTTATTATATTTTTTATATGCGAATAGTACACACTTTGATTAACCATAAATATATCATATTTTAAATATTATTTTATTTATTTCATTAATATTTTATTATTATTATTTCATATTATTTTATTTATTTTCAATTAATTCATTTGGTTATTTCATTATTTACATTAAACATCTTCATATTCATTTCTTTTGTACATAATATACACGAGTATAAAAAATTATGATGTATATTTTTATAATAACATATATAATATTTACACATATTTTTCTTATTATTTATACAACATACTTTTTTTTATTTTTTACAATTCGAGATAAAATAAAAATTTTTATGCGTTTAAGTTTAGTTTGATCGTTCATAAAATCGAAACAAAACTGAATTCGACGTTCTCTTTGAAGATCAAGAACCCTCCACTAAAAAGTTTGTTATTTCTTGAGAGTTTCTTATCAATTTGAAATTAACTCAAGAATTTTAATTAATTAAAGCACAAATTTTTGCGCTCAAACATCTCATTATTAGATTAAAATTATTTTATACAATATTATAAGCAAATTTTTCAGTTAACATCTCATTTTATTTCATTTCCACATAAAAATATCTTTTTCATTTTAAACGGAATGAGTTGCTTTTTAAAATAATTATATAAAAATGCAGAACCATTAATAGTAGAGAGGTTTAGAACACTATTCTATTAAGTAAAATAGTTACTGCTGTCATAACTGACACTAAAATAAAATTTAACACAAAAAATAAATAATAATAATAAAAAGGGGATAGAAGTTACGAGGCCCTATGATCCAGTGGGCGATGAGGAGGACAGAAGAGAAGAGGAAGATATAAGTTTTTAATGTAGACAACCACTATATTTTTAGTTGGAAACCACACCACCCTTTGGTGGTGGTCATTGCTTTTGCTAATGTAAAGCTTAGGGTAAGGCCGGTTCATTTTAATAATATTCAATTTATCCTTCACTCAATATATATAAGTTTTTTATCATTCCAAAAATAATGACCCTCTAAAAGTTCCATTATTTATTATTAGCAGACATCTGCTTCACCATAAAAACCAGCTGAAGTTACAAATTAGAGTATTTACATATTTCCAGTATCTTTATCTCTTATATAGGCTGTAATTATGTGAGCTGGGTTCTAAATGTTATCTGAGCAAAAATGACAGTTGGAACTATAAAGCAACTATAAAGCAACTAGCAACTATAAAGCATTATAAATATTCATGACTACGTTGATACCCAATACGAAACTATCAATCGAAACTCTGAATCTCCAGCTACTCAAATAATATATACCTATATAATTTACATAGGTGTTTGTTTGATTGATTTTTTGGAGAGATCCTACCGAAGTTAGTGTTCTGTAGGGTAGTTGTCTTTGATTTATGGTTAAGAAACAAACATTGTTCAGTTTTAATATTTTGCTGCAAGAGAATAGAAAAAAATAATCTCTGACCACTAACACTTTCTAGATTTATTGGCATTTGTTTAGCTAGCAAGCTTGAAACATCATCTGATGTTGTACAGTATGCTCGATAGACACGAAGGTTGGACAGTCTGTGAGCACTATTTATTACTCGTCAATATTAATTTAAGTATTTGTGTTTGTTAAAGGTTTATAAATAGGTTGTATTCAGTTTTAGTATCCTACATATTATTCGCGTCCATTACAGTAAAGAGTCATAGGAGTAATAAATATTTCAATGCCTTTTGCTATAATAAAAACAGAAAATAAATACCAACTAACTCTTCAAAATAAAAGAAAGTCGTATCACTCTATTATGAAAATATTTATTATCTTTAATTGAAGTATATACAAATAAAATTATTAAGACATTAAATATTTATAGCTTGAAAACTATAAAAAATTGCGATTTTATTCTTTCGTCAAATTGTGCAGCTGTGTTTATTGTGCCTTTGTGCATCCTTTTAAATGAAAGACGAATTATAATTTTAACAAAACATACTTAAAAATATGAAACTTACTATCTGTTGCAGTCCAGCCGACTTGCAAATTTTTACTCAAGTTATCCTCACTCAACCATTCGTTTATTGAATTGTAGTATTCTATGAAGGCTGTTCCTGTAAGATGAGTCAGCTTACGCACAGTAAGGGGTTTTATAATTTCACGCCATGGTTTGCTGGAACCAGCAGACATCATTTCACTGTAATTGACAATAGACATATTTGTGAAAATAATTTCCAATATTAATGCGATAAGAAATTACTTTAGAAGATGTCCTACTTGTTTGTTACCAGCAAGATCGCAATTGTCCAGAGTTTTGTAGGCATTGCCTCGTTGGTACTCACCAATGTTTAGACACACTGCGCGATAGATTTGATAACCCAAAAATTCACCAAAGATTTTTCTGACAAAAGAATGTAAAAATTTCTTATTACACTTCCACTCCTTTCATTTTTCACTTAGCTGAACTCACTTGGTACTTCTAAACTGATCCACTATGCCTTCATAAAATTTGTAAGGCATGTCGTATGTACTGCCTTCTTCGTTCTCTACTGGCTTACCTACACCCATATACTTCTGCATTAAGTTCCAATAATGACAGTTGATGTCTGCTATGCTTATATTCTTATTAATTATATCCACCCAAAGTTTTTCGTGCACAAAGTACGTGGGAATTGTGAGTAAACTGTGCACTGCCTATAAAATTTATAATTTCCGCATAATTACACATAATGATGGTATTAATCGTTTCACCATATACTTACAAGGCGGTATAGACGATTTGTGTTAAGTAAATCATCATATTCATAGTCCTTCAATAAGCCTAAGCGCTGTTGTAGATGTTTCGGTGTAGACACTGACAAAATTACTGCCTCTCCTAATGCATTGCCAAAGCCGGGGCTTGCTTCCTGATTTAAACCGACGCTCAAGTTATTTTTTGCTAAAGCATATTGGATCGTAGACACATCTCCGTGGGTTTGTAATAGCTTTTTATAATAAACTTTGGGGCAATAATTCATTTCAATTTCACCAAAATCAAATATGCGTGACTTGCAATCTGGACCTCCACTTCCAGGTTCCATTTCAATAAAATGATCATGCATGAAATTTCTAAAAATATGAAATTAATATTTGTTATGCTTAACTTAAGTAACTGAAGAAGAAACTCACTCTGTTAAATTTTCAAAGCCAATCGACCCAAAAAATCGCGCACTTATATTTACTAAATCAAATGGAGAAAAGCCAGCATCA